AGAGAGGAACGGAGAGAGAGAGAGAGAGAGAGAGAGAGAGAGAGAGAGAATTCATCTAGCCAATGGTAAATGACATTGGACGTTCCAACTGGGATGTTGAGATAAGATGTGATGAATTCTTGCCGGCGGTTCAACCTTTAATTCCATGTCAGGTCAGACGAGAAGGTGATGGGGGACTATGCAAGATAGGCCCTGCTATACCTGTATGTTCGACTACATTAAAGATGAAAGAATTTGCCGGAGCTTATCTGCCCCAGCTTACGCCATTGACATCACAGGAGTATGTGAGGCAGGGTTAAGGAGAATGATTTTCCTTCAAAACCAAATAATCTCATTTTTGACACCAAGCAAAAGTGATGTGAATAACTTTCAAAAATGTCATTTTATCTTTTTCAGACAACTGACTGTCACAGAATTTAAAGTGGTTTGTGTTTGTTTACTAAGGTGGCAGTCCAGAGGGGACTGTTTAACAATTACAAAACGACTTATTTAAGAAATAGATTCATACAAACAAGTGCATCAAGGATGCGATTATTAATATGAAAAAAAAAATTGCAAGGTTATCTTGCTTTGAAAAAAAAGTCCTCACTAAAAATCCACTTGTAAAACTGCGGAAAGAAAACTAAAATATGGCAATATAAATCTACTAAAACAACATTAACTCATGGCCAGGTCAGGGATAAAACCAGGAAGCGTGCAATTAAGTACTAGAAATACATCATGTGCTCAGTGCTCACTCATTGTGTCATGTCAATATCATAAATGTTTGACAACTATTGAATTAAAATGTAACTTCGATGATTACATATACGATTTGAATGTATCTGATGAGATGACTGAGAAATTATTTTGTTCAATGCATTTGTGCTGGTGTTAAGACGTGGTTCGTGTGAAAGAAAACAGGTCTTAAGTGCAAGTCCCCTGCACTTGTTTTCCATTCGGCGTTACATTTGCACTGTGCTGTAAGTTTTACATCTCTACACAAAAAAACAAGAATATGCTTTTCATTAGAAAATCTAAAATTAATAAAATAATTGGGCGTTGTTCAGGAAAACAGGAATAAAATGGGCCAAGTTCAAGTTCATAGGTGCCCCCATAGGAGCATAATCATAGTACGCCCCCCACTGGTAAATCCGGTTGTATCACACCCACAGAATTAAGGCATACGTTCCACGAGTGCGTAATTGGTTTCAGTCGACACGGAAGAAGCGGGGCAACATTGATATCGAACAGATTTAGGAAATAAATTCATACATCAGAAGATGAAGCAAATGTACTGTATAGTTTACTGAAAATTCATTTGGTGCCGGGAACCATTGCACTTGCATAAAATGCATTTTCAACACTGTTCCTCCAGCGAAATAATAGAAATATGATTTTCTGGATGGATCCAGATGCAAGTTAAACACGGCAGTGCAATGTCAACCTCTTTGAAAACACGTGATCGTAAAAGAGTCCAACGTGTTTCCTCCCTTTGAAATTAAAGATGAATCGTCATCAGTGGCGCCCTTCCAGCACGATTGACGTTGAATACACCACAATTTCATTTAATAGCTCTTGTGTGATCATGTGTGATGGTGGCACACTTAACTATGTGCCTTCCGAGGTAATTACAGCGCACACGAGGTCTTTGCGCCGTGTACAAGTGTGCGTGTAAACACCACTTCCTGACCAAACAGCCTCGAACCTTGGCAAATAAAACTCTTTGGCAGCGCAAAGACGAATGGTGGTGGTTATATATTTGGAAACATTGCAAGCTGGTAACTTTATTCACTTGATGCAGAACCTCTTAAACAAAGGTCTGCGGTAACAAAGCCGATGCCTGCTCTTTGATGGCAAAAGAAATCTCGAAGTGTCCGTGACACAACACGTTAACCAACTTCAGTTGAACTTCTCTGCCGCGTTGTTTGAAGCGTTTGCAGTAAAGCCCACTATTTTTAAAGCGCTCCCCTGCGGTCCCTGTAGTGTGAGTTGCCCCACACGAAACAGTTTTTTCAATTAAAATTTATCAAGTCCCCATCCCCTAAAATAAGTCGACACGTGAACAGAAAGTAAACCACATATTTACTTACGCGAAAAGTCCCGTTTGCTCAAGTGCTGGGGTTTGCCTTGTTTGCGGCGAGACATGATGGCTGGAGTGGCGGCTTCTCAGCGGAGCTCACATTGGGAAATCCAGGTAAACTCCAAGTGAAAATCTCATGGATGCATCTGACGTCCGTGAGAATCACGAGCCGCGGGAGTGAGGTGCTCAAAACACGGGCAAAAGTGAGGTGCATGGATCACACGCGCGCGGGCGAGGGGGAGTAACGCGCTGCAGGCTGCGTGGAGGAGATCCTCATGACTTTTAGCGCTACAAGACGATGATGATGATGGTGGTGATGATGATGATGATGATGACGATGGAGGGCGCATGCAGTGAGAGAAGACCCCCACCCCCACCTCCTCCTCCTCCCCCTCATGCCCTCCCCAAACCCTGAGCTGCAAGTTCAAGTGCGGACGTGACGTTCCTGCGAACTTGAACGTCAGGAGATAAACCAAAGTGAGATCTCTGAAGCGTGGGCAGGGCCAAGGCGGCCGGTGGGAGGGGGCAGCTACTATAAACACCAATGGACACTCATTATTATCGACTACCTATAGAAATGCCGGGGGCCACCCTGATGACACACCAAAGGACTGGAAAAGAAGGGGGCTGGACCGAGACAGAGAGAGAGAGAGAGAGAGAGCGAGAGAGCGAGAGAGAGAGAGAGTAGCTGATTGGGGTAGAGACATAATGTGCAACATGCAATATGTGTGATTCATAGTCATGAGGTAACCTATTTACAGTATGTAAGCATGCGTACAGTATGAAGTTATTAAGCAAACCCACAGTGTAAAACTAGTGGTTTTTGGAGCATTGTGAAAAAAGTAATAAAATAATTCTTATTTATGGGCATGACATGTTACATATTGTTCACATAAATCTGTTCTGATCATGTAAGATCAAAGCATAGCGCAGACCAGGGCTATGTGTTTGGTACGCTGTTAGTAAATAAGAAAATAAAAGATGAGTGAACCCAAATTTTCAAGGCAACAAACTTTGATGAAAAAAGTTGGGCAATTCAACAAAATATTTTAAGTTTTGCTTTTGTTAAAATTGCCATTTCCGCATTTCACTATCCATCCGCCAATCCATCCATTTTCTAATCCATTTGGGGTGCTGGAGCCTATCCCAGCTGTCTTGGGGCAGTAGGCTAGGGACACCCTGAACTGGTTGCCAGCCAATCACAGGGCACACATAGACAAATAAACATTCACACTCACACCTAGGGACAATTTAGAGTGTCCCATTAATGTACCATGCATATTTTTGGAATGTGGGAGGAAACTCGGTGAAAACCCATACAAGCACGGGGAGAACATGCAAACGCCACACAGGAAGCCCGGAGCCGGAATCAAACCCTGCACCTCTGAAATGTGAGACGGACTTGGGAACCGTTGACACCGTGCTGCCTCGCATTTCACTAAAAACAAATACAAGTTGACAGAACTAACTGTTCCTTGTATTGTCCCCCAATTTAGATGTACGAGTAAAAACAACTCAGAAATAGATTCCTTGCTTTGTTGTGCTAACTAACATTGTTGCCATAAATATCAATAATTTATGTTAGTTTTAGAAACTCCCACTATATTCTAAAAATGCAATATAACATCATGCAACAGTGCCATGTACATTTATAGATAGGGGCTGCACATATGCGGTGTGCCGGTGTTTATGAGCCCTGGGAATTGAATATTGTGTTTCAGTTCAAGCCTGTCGTTGCGTTTTTGAGCACTAGTTACATTACATTCAGTCAATCAGTTTGGCTGTGGTCACAACGATTTCCGTCGAGGGCCAAGTTCAAAATGTTTTATATAGTATTAGTTGTTTTGCTTTTATTCAGTTGACCCCCACAGTGCAACAATCTGTTCCAATTGCAGCTTCACCTGTCTGTCAAAATATGCCCTTTCGCAAAAGCGGTCTGTGGTGCACAAAAAAAGGTGGACTGCAGACTGTGCACAAACACAAATTAATGATAGTAACAAATATACAGTAGGCACCAGAAAACAAGTAAACAATATCAGTCTCATATTGAGTGCAAAGCCAAAATGTGTCTTCAAACGAGTTTTAAAAATGGACAAAGAGGGGACCTGCTTCACATTTAACAGAGGATCATTCCAGAGGGAGGACCGACTTGCGCTCAGTTCTGGGCATGTCCAGTAGCATCTGGTCGGCAGACCTGAAGCACCAAGCAGGTGAGTAGGTGTGGAAGGGCTCTGAGGGGTAAGCTGGGGCAAGGCCATTTAAAAATTTGACAGCAAATAGACGTACTTAACATGAACTCTAAAATGCACTGGGTTCCAGTGAACGGAGGTCAGAAGTGGGGTTTTGTGTTCACTCTTACAAGTTCCAGTTAGGAGGCAAGCAGCAACATTTTCGACCACCTGGAGATGCTTGAGGGAGAACTGGCTGACTGCAAAATAAAGTGCATTATGATAATCAAGCGGAGATGTAGCAAAGGCATGGAATCTTGTTTGCAAGTGGTGTTGAGAAAGGAAAGACTTTATCTTGCCAGCTGCATAAAACGAAAGAAGCAAATTTGCCGATCCAACTGAAAATCACTGTCCAATTTCGGGCGCCGAGGTGGTTGAGTGGTTAGCACGTCCGTCTCACAGTGCAGAGGTGCAGGATTCGATTCCAGGCCCTGGCCTTCCTGTGTGGAGTTTGCATGTTCTCCCCATGCCTGAATGGGTTTTGACCAGGTGCTCCGGTTTCCTCCCACATTCCAAAAAACATGCATGGCAGGTTCATAGAGCACTCTAAATTGTTCCGAGGTGTGATTGTGAGCATGGATGGTTGTTTGTCTTTGTGAATTTTTATGGAATAATTCGTCTTGATTGAATTTCTTACTCCATCTCATGCAATCCTGTTATGCATTTGCCCAGACTAAGACAATTCTTAAAAAAAAAAAAAAAAAAAAACATTACAGTACTTATTGATATAAGTAAGTTGGTCCTCTTGGTCAGCAATTATAGCTAGCTAAAAAAACACCTTCTACTCTGGAGAGAAAATTAACATTCAACAAGCCTTTTACTGTGATTACATTGACGTGAATCGTAAACACCAAATAAATCATGTAATAAAAATTGCAACATTGAGCTCATCAAGCCTTCGATAGTTTATTACTTATTTCTGATGAATATGTATCATAACATCAGAAAAGTGAAGGTGTGTTTTTCAAGAATTTTGAAGCCAAAATGCTCTTCAATTCTGTAAATCCCATAAATGAAATGGATACGGTCAAGAAATTGCTCACATTGACCTGCTAAGTTGAATGGTATTTTAAGTGGTAACAAAATATTTTTTGTCTCCTATGCATATATATGAACCATTTCCATTCAATTAGAATTCACGTTGAGCGCTAATTGATTTGGTAATTGAGCGTCAATAAGCATCCACAAAAGAAGTTTGATCCTTTGGCGCCATCCAGTGTCTAAAAATATACATATGTAAAGAGAGAGAAAGAGAGAGAGACAGAGAAAGAGAGAAAGAGAGAATGAGAGAGAGAGAGAGAGAGAGAGAGAGAGAGAGAGAGAAAGAGAGAGAGAGAGAGGGAGAATTATTTCATAACGATCTGTGTAATTTATTTACAGGAATTTGAAACTACCCAATCAAAACACAATTCAATTCAATTCAATTCACCATTGATAGTGCATTATATTACATTTCTTGTTTTAATTTGGCATTACTGTAAAAGAAAACATAAATAATACGAATTGAAAATGCTCTTTTACTTACGTTGGTTCATATTATGGGTGGCAGTGCGCTTGTCATTAAGTAATCATGTATCGTGTTCTCCAAATTGAGCACACAGCGCCACTGTGAGGCGAAGGCACGGTAACGCTTCCTGGGCTTGGCGGCCAGGACTGAGAAAGAAGCACGAACAGCTTCAGCTCAATCCATAAATCCAGTGCGTATCGGATGGTGATCACTCTGGCAGCAGCTGGTGAGTGACACGTTTGTTCCGTCCGGAGTGTTTGCCAGCAAAGTGTCCTGGTCCTGATGCGAGACACTTGTTTCGTTCTTCCGGAGAGATGCGGTTAGATGAGCATCGCTGCATGTGTATGCGCCTTGTGAGAAAGCTAGCTTTGTGTGTCGACCAAACCTGGACAATGTTGGGTTAACAGCAGACAATAATTGCGAAGGAATTATTGCTGTTTTACAAAACACGATGTTTGTACCACCATCGAAACGTCGCGGCAAGTGTAAAGCAGGGCGGTTGTATGTACGAGGATCAATACTGCACCTCCGCGTAGCTTCCGGATTTAACACTGCAATCAACGCTCGTGTTAAATACGAAGCCATGTATAAACAGTGAAGTCTATAGTCTTACGTGATTATTAACATCGAATTTTCTTCGGCGGAATGTTGTGAATGATGGCCTAAGTGGGCTAATTTTCAGGGGTTGTCATTGGCTGACTAGCCATCAGCTGCATCCGCCAGCAAGCCCAGTTGATGTGCTGTCATCATCAGAGGAGAGTTTCAGTACATCTCAGCATGGATGTGCAGTCAAGCTTCTAAAGAGGGCAACTAGGCCACTGTAGCCAGGGCGCCAGTCCCGCACCTCCTCAATTGGAAGGAGGGAATAAAAAAATGATGGTGTAAAATCAGGGCCAGATACTGCACGGACAAACTTGGACATAGCCGATGAATTCAGCCATGAGTCAGCAATGAGGCCTGTTTGTTGGTGATGTTATTGCAGCGTGCAGGCAGCCCAGCTGATAGTTTGAGTCAAATTACTGGCGGTTGTTCATTTTATGCTTCTATAGTGTATGCTGTTGATAGAAGAGCTTCAAGGGGAGCACAGCTGAGGGTCTTAAAGAAAGCCATCCTGCCTCTCTCTGGACCATGTGTGCAAATGTTTGCTTGGTGGACTTGCTCTAACTCAGCGTAATAGCGAGTCTTAATCAGCTGTTCAAATGTATTATTTTTCGGAGTCACTCTGTCCTCACCCCCTGTTGTCAGTGTCTTTGAGACAGAGTGATTCGTCTTTCATATTTTATATTTACAATATATGCATCCATGTGCCCTTGGCTGGTGACCAGTTCAGGTTGTGCCCCACTCACCCATAGTCAGCTGGGATCGGCTGCAGCACACCATCAAGCCCAGTGAGGATCATGGTTACTGTATTATATTTTGGGACATTTCATGATAATTATTTTTTTTGTTTTGTTTTGTCTTATTTTTTTAAATTCAGTTCATTTTAATTTGTTTTTAGATCAGTTTTGTAAAAATTTTTATTCGTTTTTTTTGGGGGGGGGAATGCTTCATTTTAGTTTTGTCGGTATTAGTTTTATTTGAATTGTCGAGTGCAAGATTTTTAAAAAACGGTTCTCTCAGTAATAATCATAAAGTAAGGTAAACTACAATTCTCTAATGTCTGTTTGAGCCTCTTTTTTTCTTTACAGACATACAGCAAGACTGAAATAAACACATTTAAAAAGAATGTCTGTTTGAGCCTCTACAAACACAACATACAGCAAGACTGAAATAAACACATTTAAAAAGAACCCCAACACTTCATGTTTGGTATTAATTGAAAAATGTGAAAAGGAAGGACACTTTCACTATAATTATAGTTAGTTTATGTTAGTTTTATGAATGAAAGACGTCGTTTCAGGTAGTTTTTTTTTTTTAAGCATTGTCATTTTAATTTAATTTCATTCACAAAAATGTGACTTCACTTCCAGTTTCAGTTATTTTGTTAATGTCTGTTAACTGTAATAGGCTTTGTAAGCATAAGTGATGCAGAAAATGGAAGAATGGCTGACTGGCATATCCCGTCTGATTTGGGGCAAAAGGCTTGGTATTCCTGGAGCCGGTTGCCATCTGATCAGAGGGGCACACAAACAAACAACCCATTCACACTCACATTTACACCTATGGGCATTGTAGAGGATATAATTGACCAAGACCGAATGAAGATTTCAGCCAAGAACCTCTGAAATGGGAGGCAATATGATAACCGCTCGGTGAGCGATGTGGCTCGTTACTGGTTTGGTAACCTGAAAACATCTCTCAAACAACACCGAACATGTATTCTATTTGAAACAGCTCTTTTATTTGGACATCATTAAATTGCATAGATGTTCCCAAGGTTGTGACGTTGATTTAAATTCCAAAATCTGTCTTTTTCAGCAGGATGCAATAAAGGTCAAAGGTGATCTTGAAAGGGAGCTATGAGTCTGACGTCCTGGTTTCTTGTGAGTGGCAGTGGGACACGTCATCGTCTCCCCAGAGAGATGATCTTCGTGGGGAGAGATGACTGTGAACTCATGCTGCAGGTACAGATTCACGATACTGAGCTATACTCCCTGTATTATAATCGGATAGGGAGATTGTCTTTGCTTAAAGTGATTGCCTGGATTTTATGTGATTTAGTCCCGTAGTGTGGACAAACAACATGCTGTCATCAACTACGAGGCGGATACAGATGAACACAAAGTTAAAGACCTGGGCAGCTTGAATGGGGTGAGTTCCTGGTTGGTTAACGGTTTTATGTCAGGCTGTGATCTTTTTGATTTGAGATGCATTTCATTTTTCCAGTCATTTGACCTCGTTCAATGGTACCTTTTATTATAAAATAATGCACTGTACATACTGTAAAAATGATCAAATGATTTCATGATTATTAAAGCCAAAGTTTAAAATATAAATGATTGTGTCATTTATATTTTATCAAATGATTTCATGATTATTAAAGCCATTTTTAGTTAAAATATGTCTCTAATAAGTTTAAAATATAAATGATTGTGTCATTTATATTTTACATGAGGCACTGAGACAGAAACATTTGAAACACATCTTAGTGTATAAACTGTCATGGAAAACTACCGTATAACCACAATAATACTAAAATGTAAACTGTAAAATACATCTCAGTGTATAAACTGTCATGGAAAACTATAACCACAATAATACTAAAATGTAAACTGTAAAATGTTATTTTTACTTCAAACAGGATTTTTTTTATCCTGGTAAAGATCCAAATTTGTGAGGCAAATTGGATCTCTAATAGCTTGTGTCAAAATTGTGGGTGTAATGCCGGCTCAATCACATTGTTGTGTTTTTGCAGACTTTTGTCAATGATGTCAGAGTACAGGAGCAAATGTATGTCACACTGAAGATCGATGACAAACTGAGGTTCGGTTACGATATCCTTTGAGCCGTTCCTTCACTCCTCTATTAAGCAGCAGCACAGCAGAAGGCCACAGTATTTGAACAACTCTGAAACATGAAATGCTTCACTCTCCTGCACTCTGTTGCATGTCAGATCAGAATACCACCACATGCTTCTCACCATGAAATACTGTTCTGGCTGTCTTTCACCTTAACTTTTCCCACATACAAACTTGTTCACGGTTGTTCGCGGAGAGCTGCACATACCGGAAGAGGCTCTAAAGGTGAGACTGCCTCTCCATATGGAGAAATGTTGCAATTCTTGTACTGTATCTCAGTGAAATCTTCAGGTGTAAGTGGGTTGTTCACTGCATTCTTTTAACCCAAAAATACATCACAGTATTATCTCCAAACACTGCTGGATATTTGCTTTTCTTTTTTTTTTTTTTTTTACTCCTCTCCTCTCATGCCACTGCTTTTTCCCTCCTTTCAGCATGAGAAGTTTAGCAGCCAGCTTCAGCTCAGCCAGAGAAGGCCTCTCGAGGGGGAGTCATCAAAATCAGAAGTCAAACGTTCTGAGGCAGCCGCACCAGTGTGTGAGGCGGCCTCTGCTAAAGAGCCCAACAGGGTGGAAGAAAAGATGACCGGTTAGTTACCAGGCCACGGCGCAAAGGACGCAGTCTGCAATGCTTTCTGAGTGATTGCAGCACTTTGACTTTCCAGTTGTCTGCTTGTACATATCCTACTGTTTCGTTCTGGTCATGTTGCTGCTTCACACATACAATTCATAATGAAACCTATACTTTTATTGTTGTAGATGTAACAGTTTTGCACAGGGGAACACCCCTTTATGGACAGCCTGCCTGGTGGGGTGATGGGGACGCTGATAATCACTCCGGAAGGCCTGAAGAAAATAATTCTGAGAGAACTCGTGAAAAACCTCAAACAGGTTCATACTGGCCAACATGCTATTTTATGTACTAATGCACATGACATCATAACAAGCTTAAATCCAGTGTCCTAGTTCTGTTAATTGTGTATGGAGCTTCAAAAATACAATATTTTTATCAATCTCAAAATCTAAATTGACCAGAGTTTAGAGTGTGAAGTATGAACCACCATGCCATCATGTTTTGTCTGACAGACACAAAGAAGAGCGCGGAAATGCCAAAGTCTGCCCTGCAACTACCCTCGACTCAGGAGCCAAGCTACTTTGAAATCCCAACCAAAGATGGCCCCCAAGAAGGTAAAGCAATTGGTGAGGCCACATTTCGAGATCAAGAGGCCGCTATTTCATCTGTTGCCGAGCCTGTCCATGGTCATGCATCCTACACCATTGAATTTGACCCCGGAGCATCAGGGAAAGTGACGGTCAAAGATCGAGTGGCAAAGTTGGGCTTAGACACAAGGCCACGTCCAAAAAGGGGAGTGGGAGAGGAACTGAGTCCACTTCAGACAGCCATGGTGGCCGCAGAGGTCAAAGTTGCTGATTGGCTAGCCCAGAATGAGCTGCCTTTGACTGTTAAAGAAACAGCTGCAGAAGATGGTGGGGAAAGTGTGAAGAGTGATGTACCTGTTCAGCTGAGGAGTCTGAAAGGTACTGTATCGATATACGCCAACACTTGAGTAAAATTATGCTGCCCTCAATTTAAGCTTATTCGCCATTCTTCTATGCCAGACAGCAAACATGAGGATGGCACACAGAGCGACTCTGAGAACGCACTTGGAGAACAACGCAGGGTTGCTGCTCTGGAGGAGCGCCCTTTGGGGCTTTGGGGCGGAGCAGGAATGAAGATCAGGGAAGGGCGCGCTAATGTGCCTGAGGGGCTCTTTGCGGAGGAGGAAAGTCCAGCTCGCCGTCGTAGGTCTTCAAGTACAAAAGTGCCAGCTAGCTTTGTAGAAAGGCAACATAGCGCTGCACCACACCAACAAAGTAGTCGTGATGAGTGCTATCAACGCGCAGATGATGGCAGCGACAGAGGAACATATACCATCGACCTGGAAAATGGTGACCATGAAGAAGAAGAGGCTCGAAAAATGATTGACAAGGTGGGAAAGAATAAACAGCATGTGATGTCATTAAGTTTAACATGTTCGGTGCAAATGGTTTTTCCTCCTCTATATAATTCAGGTGTTTGGTGTAGATGAACTAGAGGCTCTGCATGTTTCCAGAGTGGGGAGTGCAGGCCTAAAAGAGACCCTCCCCTCCCAGAGGTCTGCTGCTAGAGATGGAGGAAAACCTGGCTTCAGGGAAACAGAGGTGCAAAACCAGAGTTCTCAATACAACACGAGTGCTTTATCACCAAAAGAAGATCATATCAACAGCGAATCATTGTGGTGGCAGTATCATGCTTTATGGGCTTACTGTCTCCAGCTAGAAATGGGATCTTAGACAGAGTGGAGAGCATCACTGAACAGTTCCAAATACCAGTCAGTGTGAGCATATAACCTTAAGGCTTCAGCTAGAAAGAACAAAAATGTCAGGAAAAGCCAACTAGAACATCTGAAATGGATTTGAGGTAAGTCGGAGGCACTTCAAACGGTGGCAGGTGTGTGCTGACTTATATTTAACATGGGTGTGACTGTGACTGGTTAATTCTAAATGCAGCCACATCCCCAATTATAAGAGGGTGTGCACACTTGTGCAACCACATCACCTCAGTTGTTTCTTTTTACTTGCCTTCTAGATTAATTTGTACGGGTAAGTGGTCACATTATAGTGGAGAAAGTTTTGAAATTATTTGTCTTAGTCTCATTTTATGTCCCAATGTCTTCCAATGATCTGAGGAGCTAAGTTGTCTCTGGGGCTTTATGCCTCTAATAAAGTCATACATGGCAAACAGATCTCAGGTGATGGACCAGACAAAGCATGGCTCAGTGACTCTGATAATGAACGAAACCATTGGACAGCGTTTTCTCTTGCCCGACGCGGGTCACCGGGGCCCTCCTCTGGAACCAGGCCAAGCCCACACCAATGGGGCATGGCCAGGATCAGCCCAAAGAGGCAATGTGGGTCCCCCTTCCAATGGGCTCACCACCTATGGGAGGGGCCAAAGGGGTTGGGTGCAAAGTGAAGTGGGTGGCAAAAAAGGTGGGGAGCTTCGGCTGCAGAAGCTAGCTCAAGGGACATGGAATGTCACCTCTCTTGCAGGGAAGGAGCCCTAGCTGATGTGCGAGGCAGAGAAGTTCTGACTTCACATAATCGGACTTGCTTCCACACAGCCTGTGCTCTGTTACAAGTTTTCTCGAGAGGGGTTGGACTCTCTTCAACTCTGGAGTTTCTAACCGGGGACAGGCACAGAGCATGTGTGGACATGCTCATTGCCCCCCATCTCAGTGTCTGTATATTAGGGTTCACACTGGTGGATGAGAGAGTACCACTTTTGGGTGGGGGACCTGGTCTTGATTGTTGTTTGTGCGATACATCAAACAGAAATTCAGAGTACCCATCCTTTTTGGAGTCCTTGGAAAAAGCTGTTGCCTCCACGAACCGATTGCGGATAAGTGGTAAATAATGGATGGATAGATGATTATTAATTTGAATAGGCAGCAAGGTAGTGACTGGTTAGCACATCCGCCTCACTCCGCAGAGGTCATGGGCTTGATTCCAGCCCTGGCCTTCCTGTGTGGAGTTTGCATGTTCTCCCCGTGCCTGCATGGGTTTTCTCTGGATACTCCAGTTTTCTCCCACATTCCAAAAACATGCAAGGTGGGTTAATGGAACACTCTAAATTGACCCTAGCTGTGATTGTGAGCACATGTTGTTGTTTGTTTATGTGTGCCCTGGCAAACAGTTCAAGGTGTAACCCGCCTACTGCCCGAAGACAGCTGGGATAGGCTCCAGCACGCCGACCCTTGTGAGGATAGGTGGAATAGATAACGGATGGATGGATTCATTTGAATACAATTATATTGTTCCAGAGTAGCTTTAAGTGATGGCTGCACACTACTTCCATTGTAGTTTCAGATTGAGGTTTGCCTTAGAATCCTGTTGAGTAGATTTTCCATTCTGTCTTTTACAGATACTGCCTGAGGAACTGGTGGTTGGTGGTCCTCGCTGGGTCTCACAGTGGGCTATCCTCGCTGCCAGCCACATAAGGACAGACCCTGAGGGATCTGGTGGCGAGAGTCAAAGTTTAGTTACCGACAAAGGTACTTAAGTACTACCAAGGACAATGTCTCCCTTTGAGTAGAAATAACATAAATGCATTTGGTTTAGAAAGTGTAAAGACAGTCCACAAATAAACCTCTTTTTAAAGCACTGCACGCACACCAGTGACACACATTTGAGAACTAATATTGCAAATACTGTATGTTATTTTTCAGCAGATGTAAGTAAATCCAGCCATTACTTTGCTTCATCTGGTCAAAAAGTACCTGATGAAGAAGGAGGAAGGAGGACTCCAAGTTGTGGCATGCACACGGATATGGGAGAGAAACAGGACACGGAACTGCAAGAGAAGGAGAGCCAGCGGGGGAAGACAGCAGGAGAAGGAATTTTGCCTGCTCAGGGCAGCCCTAGTCGTTCTTCATCAGCCAAGTCACAGGGCAGCAGTTATGGGAGAACAAGTCAAACAGGTGCGATGACTAAGCTCCCCCCTCGGCCAAAGACGAGTGGAGAGAGGAGAATAGAGGAAGTGCAGAAGAGGAAAAAGGAAGAGAGGATCAAAGAGACCATTGGAAAACCTTTTTTGAGACAGGAGAGTTTTACTGTGGAGAAGCCAAGCTCCAATGTACCCATTGAGCTGATTCCTCGCATTGATGGACTCACAGGAAGCAGACCCCCTAGTAGGGAGGCTGCCATCGACAGTGACATACTACAGAAAGACTCTGAGGCAGTGGCAGCTTTCTTAGAGACCACTGTATCAGACCAAGGTGATCCGCCAAGTCAGTCCATTGAAGGTTCCATGTCACCAGAGTCAGATGTGGACACAACTAGTACAGTGAGCCAGGCTGATGGAGCAAGGAAAATGGTTCAAAAACGGCGAATTCTCGTTGGACAACAAAAGCAGAAAACCGTTGTGTCCTCAAACAACAAAGGCGCAGCTGCTGGTCGAGAGACACAGGACAAGAGGGTTAAGACCAGAACACATGGTCTTCAGCACCCCTGGACTTCTCTGGACCTCACAGATGATGATATCAACTCAAATTCACTTCTCTGTGATACCCGGCCGACCACACAGGAAACCAGAGGTTCACGGGCCAGAACTCAAACAGAAAGCACTACAGTGGGGGCCAGCACTAAGTCCAGTAGGGCTAAGATCAACCAAGCACCTGCTTCTCTTCCAGCCAGTAAAACCACAAGTGCACCAAAGCCAAGGCCTACAAGGGCATCCATCCTGAGGCGAGCCCGACTTGGTGACTCAACCGACACTGAACCAGTAGATTTGGACAGGATGTCTGTGGCCTCTGAGGCCTCAACTACTAGCTCCACATCCAGGACAGGTCTGACAAAAAGAGGAATGTCTAGGATAGAGGCTCTGGCACAGCCAAGGAGACCAAGGGTTGGTTCTCCTTCTGCCCAGAGTGACTCTGAAGCTACCGTGACCAGGAGTAGAGGATTGGGAGCTAGAAGTACTGCCGGTGATTATGCTATTAGACACGGACTAAGAGGGTCCAATGTGACCTCTGCATGCGGACCCAGAGCCAGGGCGAACAGTGCCTCCAAGCTTCCTGACAAAAGTAAACCCATCTCCTCATATGGACAGGCCACACCAGCAGGTATTTGTGAGTACATACTACTTAGTTGATGTCTGTCTTTCACAGATTCGTCTGCCTTTGCCCCTTTTGATTGAGATTGTTCAAATCAACAACTCTTAAACTCTTAATCATTGTCTAAATGTTTTTCTTTCCATAGCCAGCACTCGTTGGCGCCGTGTGCCTGTAGAGTATGCCTCCACCTCAGAAGATGAGTACGGATCCAACCGCCATATGTCCAAACAGGGCCAGGCACGGCCAGTTCCGGCCACACGAGTGGCACAGCTTGGAGGCTCAGGGCCAACTGCTCCTAATTCTGCAGGCCTGAAGCCAGCATCTCGAGATCAGGATGAATATATGAGAGACTGGACAGCACACAGTGAAGAGATAGCCAGGTATGTCAGTGGAGTTTGAAAACACAAGATGATGGAAACTGCTATGTCATATTTTAAGGTGTGGGGCAGCCTTTTGGATTACCATTAAGAAATGGAAATACATACCTGTAGGTTCCTGTTTAGTTTTAACTGACCAGATTAAAATTTTCAGGAATTATAAGAGGCTTACTGAGAATAATACTGATAAAAGATATAGCAACACGCTGTTTGATGTAACTTTATTAGTTGAGGATTACTATTGCATTGGAGACATGCATGTATTTCCATACATGTAACCAAATCAATCCCTTTAACTGCTAATATAAGTTGTCGCTCCTCTTGCAACAAAACAGATAAACAACCTAGACAGAATTATGCTTCTACTTGCAGATTTCACAGTTTGAGATTGTGTTCTCACCTTTGTAAGCTTCCCCCTTACCCCTCCAAATTTAACAATGCTAAATATGATCAAACTGTTCAATTTTAGTCTTATTAGATCACAGGGCATGTCTCCACAAATTCTTTGTCCCTGTTGTGTATTTGTCAAGTATAATCTGTAGGTTGTTTTGTTTTTGTTTTGTTTTTTTAGCAGGGGGCAGGGGTGTGTAATGGCTTCACCCTGTCAGAGTGGCCTTTCAGCCCATGTCAGAACAGTAGTTATTTCACTGTGGCTAATGATACCCTCTTAACAGCTTCAGTCAGCATCTTTCCAAGGTCTTTTGTTGTTCTTGGTTTGATATGCACATTTTAGACCAAAGCATGACATTTCCTTCCTGAGTGGTATTAGTACTTGCATATAATTGTTTCAATCGATGAACCTGGCACCTTCAGACATATGAAAATTGCACCCAAGGATGAATAGACTTAAGCAAGTCCACAATTCTCTTCCTGATATCTTGACTGATTTCTTTTGACTTCCCCATGGTACACAGACAAAATGACTCAGGCCTTGTCAAATAAACCTTTCAGAACCATCCAAAGACATGACATCATCATCTGGGTTTCCTTATATTAAAAAATAAAAAGGCATGGTGATATTACTGTTTTTAAACTTCTTCTTCTTGAACTTTGAGGAAAGTGACGGAAACATTTGCTCAAAAAAGTCAGTTGGCAAATAGAAATGACTTTGGTCATCCTAATTTAACTAAAACAGGAAAAATTTTCGTCTGATTTAATGTCATGTGTGTCTTTTTATCTAGTGTAAATAAACTTCTGGTTTCAGTAGTTTAATAAATCCAAAATAATTAATTTTGTGGTGTGCAGTGTTTTACATGAACACATATTGCCTGCCAGTCCATTTCCCAATCATCTTAAAGGGTCAAACTTTTGCTCATAATTGCACAGGAAATATGCCCACATTAGTATTTTACAATGCAAGCGCCAAAAACAAGTTTGACATCATTTGAAATGTAACTAACAAACGTGTAACGTTATGCAAAGATGATTTGTGTCACAGATGAACCACAGGCATCTCCCTTTTAAAATTCGTAATTACAAATGTCAAAGGATGTGAATAACATTTAAAGGTAACAACAAAAACTCTCTTTTAATGGGAGTGCTTACTTCAAGATCAGGGGAACTTCTGGTGTGTATTTTTCTTTCAATCCTCCATTCACACAACTTGTTCTTTTGGAATAAGTGTCACAAAAAGCAAATGATGCTCTTGTGAGGTAGCAGACGTGTCTGGTTCATTACGGATCCGGTTGTACAATCTCAACCTTGCAGTTTCCATGCCCTGTGTTCTCAGTATGACATTAAATGGTTGGTTGACATCCTAAAAGTGACATTTGGTATCCATATTTGCTCAACAGGATTAGCCAGGACCTTGCCAAAGACCTAGCGATGCTTGCAAGAGAGATTCACGATGTAGCTGGAGAGATTGACTCAGTCAGCCCTGCAGCCACTGACCCTGGAGTCGTGGTATTGTCCAAATATTTAACTGTAGTTGATCAGCAAAATATGGACGTAGTAGTCATGCGAAATAAAACTAATAATTGCAATGAAATGAATGTGTATTCTGTTATAGTTGGAGGAATGTGATGACCGCTTGGACCAAGGGGGTCCCTCCACAGATCATAGCACTGCTCTGGAAGCAAATGGGAAGTCCGTTGAAATGAGACAGAGGTCCTCCAATCCACAGGGATCGCGCTCCATTCGTCGACAAACATGGAACCGCGATGAAGTGAGTCCACTTGGAACATAGAACATAGCTCGCCATCGTAGTGTGCATCACCTCCAGTAAAACCCGGAAACTGTCCTGAAATCTATTTTGTTTACTCTTGACAAAACAAGCACTCGCAAAATGTACCCGTACATGCAAAATGGCATCAATAATAAGAACATTGCTGAGGAAGTGTACCATAATGATGCTGGTACAGGTAATGCGGTCCAGTGGTACTTCAAGTTCCTAATTTAATTCATTGTGTGATTGAAAATAAATACAGTTCACTACAAAAGTACATGAAATTACACTTCCTTATGAAGAAGGACAGCAGCCCCTCCACTGAAGAAGAAATCCTTATCAGATGTTTTTTATTTTGTCTACATGTATTTTTTTAATTGGGGTTTTTCTACACAAAAAAAGTGATCCAGAGTACTGTAACTTGTTTAGGGTTTTTTTGTTTGTTTGTTTGTTTGTTTTTGTCAAAAATTCTAGGTGGCTGCTGTTAGAATTGTGATTGCGAGAAGCGTGTGTGTAAGCGTTACTTCCGGCTGCGCACACAACAACTTTGTATGTGTTTTCGCTGAGCGGGCATCGAGTTTCATGTGGGCTTTTTCTGTGCATTATTTCTTAAAATCGGTTCAGGTTTTTCTCATGAAATACTTGGTTAATTGAGTTAATATAGATGTAAAACATATTACATTTCAAAACATTTAAAATGGCATTCATTCATAAGTGAGTAAATGACCATTGTATGATTAAAATGAACTATTTCACTTTTTTACTCTCATCTAGGACTGACCTGGCGCTTGAAATCATAAAATCCAAGGTGGCCCTTGAGCATTTAAGTTTGCCTCTCTCTTTCCGGCACATACATCAAGATAAACTGATGACTAGAGGAAGTGCTCAACAAATACTGTACATGCAATAACTCAAGGGGTCGAGTCATTTGCCATGCTTAGTATATGGTTTTAAAGCGTAGATGTCTCATGGATTGAAAATCAACCAAAATCCCCAGTAGAATGTTTAACAAAGATTCTTTCTTAGATATTTATCGAAAGTATTGATGTAGAGTATAGCAGCAGTTCAATGAATCTGTGAAGCAGTTTATTCATGTCCTTGTATTTTCAAAAAATGTTTTCACCCGCCAGGCAATGACGCTAGACAGTTTACTCCTACCATCTGTGAATCAGCTCTCAAACAGAATACGACAATCTGTCGACAAAACAGCCAACAAAATCAGGTGAGCGTCATACTGTGTCACAATAAGCACTTACTTCTGTTGACGAAGGTTTCATATATCGTAGTTATTAGGACTGAGAAGTGGAGGATGGAAATATATTCACTCTTGAAATGTGCCTTTTTGGTTTTTCCTTTGATTTTCTTTTTATTTGCTGAAACTAGGCCAGCTCGACCAATATGACTGACACATCACAAAGGCTTGCACCACCAGCCAGCTGCAAATTTTATCCGTTATCACACTCGGGATGACAACTCACAAGCTTTTCCTTCATTGCTACCACATTGCGCATCATGTTAAGGAAATTATGGTATTCAAAATCCCGGTGGGCAGGGCTGTATTAAAAATAATTTCATGTATTTCGCTTGTACCTATTTTTACTTCTTCTCCACCTCAAGGATCCTTTTCAAGGATAAAGACCGGAAATGGGAAGAGATTGAGAGCACACTTCAGGCAGAGCATGACTCCTTGCTGTTGAAGAGCTCCAACAAGGTGAAAATCCTTGTCATGAAATCCGACGTTTATTCATTTAGTTCAAATTCGATTGTTTGTGGCTTGAAGGAAAAAATAGTATCTGCTGGTATATACTCGACGTCCATTCATGGCACCAGCACTGTCAAGACGAGACAGTGAGACAGTTTAACGTTATGTTGTCTGGTGTCACTTTGGTCTAGATTAATACAAATTGACAGAGCATGAAAGGCAATTTATTATGGCTTCAGCAATGGGAGATGTTGCTTCTAATCTGTTTAGAGGAGTAATCCAATCGTTTTTCACCGAATGGAATTAGTGTCATTCAGTAGAAAATCCGTTCTCTGTAACAGTAAACATAAAATATTGGATTAGTGGCAGTCATAGAAAGTGTTGATAGAATATTTGTGTGTGTGTGTGTGTGTGGGGGGGGCTCTGGAGTTGGAGAGTTCAACTCCTCAGAGACCAAGTGGCATGGTTCTAAATTCTGGCATGTAGATGGCCCAGACCGCTCATCTTGATGGCAGTGAGAGGACTCATGAAGAAAGAAGGGATGAGTGTGTGCTTATGCGCAAACAAGGACAATAATTGTGCTATTTTGCATGTAAGATCAAACTACAGACTTCGCTCGACTTCGTGCATGTTGTTTTGTTTTGTTTTGTTTTTTGCCAGGAGATTTCCACTATCATTCAAGACCTAAAGAGAGTGGAAAGACAACTTCTTGGTATGCATCTAATAAACTTTATCTTTTTATGAGAACGATGGAAAAATGATTATATTTATTTTCAACAGAGTAGTATGGTTCGATTTAGTTCGGTATAGTACTCACAGCTCTCAGTTAGATAGATAGATAGATAGATAGATAGATAGATAGATAGATAGATAGATAGATAGATAGATAGAAACATGGACATATAGAAACATGGACATAGTAGGATTAGTTGACCCTATGTTATGATTAGTAGTATGTGGTAGACACTGAATCCAAACTTTAAAGAAAAGTCGAGTGTTTTTTTGTTTGTTTTTTTACTTGAGCTGTAAAAGGCTGGTATTAAGGAACAGGAATTCACCAAGAATTTCCAGCATGATCTCCAAAGTCTCCTGTCCAGCGCTGTTGCGAGCCACGCATTGGTAAGTTCCTTTGTCAGCCATGCTGACGTGCTGGATCCTAAAGGGTGACGTGTCCTTGATCCCAACAGGAAGACCATTGTGAAACCAATTGACCTCTGGGCTCGGCTCCCCCTGGACCACACATGGGAGCGTGACTGTTTGTCCCACCAGGGCTTTCAGTAGCGGGGGTGCGGGCTGAATCCTGGGCTTGGCTAAGGACAAAAGAACAACCTTGACACGTGTTTTATCATATCTATCCATAATGTCAACAGTTTAGAGAGAAGTGCCGTTATCATGAATTCTATCAACATGAAAGTGCTCTCAACAAACATGTTATTGTTTCCGACTTTATCATAAAACCCCACAAAGTTACCTTGGATGTGTAAATTGTAGCTTAAGGACACATTGCCGGCTGGGTTCTCTGCAGTACACGTGTACAATTTACTATCAATGAGGCGTACATCAGTTATCTTCAGGGAGCCTGAGGGCAAAACAGTGAACCTGGGGAATGGTGAGGGGTGAAGAGCAAAGAAATGACACAATAAAACACAACACTTAAAGAGTGAGAGAAAATCCATTCATATTGGTGGAAAGAAAGCTAATATTGTTTGGAAGAAAAAAAACAAAAACAAAAGCGCGAATTCCTTTGTTTTTGCAAGAACATTTGTGACACTAAAAAGATTGTTTGAAACAAAGATTCTTACTCAAATGCCATTGTTTTTTTCAAGAACATTTGTTACCCTAAAATGTAAAAAAAAAATGTGGATGCCCTGAAAAATGAAAAGAAACTGATGTCACATGTAAATTAATAGAACCTTGTCATATCAATTACCGGTAGTTACTTTTTGGATGTTTGTTCTCCTTGGCCAGTGATTGATATGATGGTGGATCCAGACGGGACCCTGGATGCTCTGACAAGCCTGGGCCTTACCAGCCCGTTGGCTGACCAGAAGGGTCCTGCAACTCACCAGGCAGAATCAGCTCCTACCGCCGGAGGAGAGGCTTCTTCTCGTGCATTGTTGGACTCAAGGCATGAAGTCGCCCTCGGTGAATCGCATGGACTGTCAGAGTGTTTACAGGTAGCACAGCAAGTCAAAGGGTCCCCACACACCAGTGGATAGTTGACAGCACTGGAAGCATCTTCCAAAATGTGTCCATTATATCATACTTATTTAGAATCTCCAAGAAGCATTCACAATTTTGACATAATCTGTCAGTACAGTACAGATTTTGAATCTGGAAAAGTGACTTGATCGTTTGCTATGGTTTACTTAATTTCTGTCTTGATGCAAAACAATTTCTTTGCACGTTTTTTTTGTGGTTTTTTTTTGGTACAGTTACAGTATATCACCCAAAGTCACGTATGGGATTTATAAACTTCTGTCCAGTGACTTGTCATTATCAATGCAAATAAATAGTGTAACCTAACAAGAAAGGTCTGTGCAAAGGTGTCAAAAAAAAAATCTACTACGGTAGTTTTTTTGTGTGCGATAAGAACTGAGATGTACAGTATTTACCTTGTATCTGATTCTTATAGTCAAATCCCAAACTAGTACATGCCTTTGCCATGTGAAAACTATGTGCAACCTGGTAGAATAGAAAGGTCCGATGTAGCTCCGAGAAAGATTTTCTTCTCCCTTAAGTATTTTGTCACAAGTGCCCTAACTCAGGCAATCATTACAGTAAAAGAGCAGAAATGATAAAGATGATAGCAAGGGACTCTTCAAAGTAGGTTCTTTGCACTTGTTGAAGCTATGTCAAAATTGGGGTGTAAAGGATGAGAAGATGCCCGTTCTAATGCTCCATTCGCGGTGGCGGTTTGGCGAAAACGTATGCAAGGTTGCAGTCATTGGGGAAAAAGTTATGTCCAATTATTTTCTACTGAAGTGTTGTGTTTCAACCAGCATAGACAGGGTCTACCTCCAAGTCCTGCAGCGGCGGGCTGCAACGATGCAAAGGAGGGATGGAGAGATTTTCATCACATTATCGTTTACACATGAATGTAACCGGATCAAATTCTACCTAACAAATTTAGCAAGTATTACTAACTGCGTTTTGTGATCAGCACTTAGTGAACTTTGTTGGTTGACGATTTTGAAAAAGTTTGGTTTGGATGGTTTGTAAAAGAAAATAATGTTTTTCATGATTTTAGTACAGTTGTTAACTTCACAATACCCGTGTATTGTTTGCCTTGTTTCCAATAAAATGCATGATAGTCCTACTTTTATATTCTTAAGTGACCCTCACTAGTGTACCTGTAATGTTTTATCAACAAAGGTGTGACACAAGGATACCACAATGTGACTTTGGAGCTGAACCAGATTTTTTTTTCATTTACAACACGCATTTTGTTTTGTTGCAGGTGGCTCGAAATCAGGGGTGTAAAGGGAAATGATTTGTGCGTCTGGGTGTGTGTTATTATTATTATTACATATTTTGATGTGCGTGTATGCTGAGCCCTATGCATCCTACCAGTTTCACTTTCACAAAAAAAAGTATTTAAAAAAACAAACAAACAAGCAGGTCACCTCTGCCGACGATGGCGCGTGACCTGCATCACCAGATGTTGTTCGTGGTCGGTCAATTTTCATCGACTTGACTCTTCTTTGATTGATGACAGTGGCACCTGTCTTGTCAAAACAACAACACCCAATGTCACAAATGAGTAATACAAAATGTGTTGTTCGGATGCTGGTCATATAAATATTTTTTTCATTTGCCAAATTACCTATTTCGTAACTCGGGGAGTGCACACACCTGGCCAAACTGCAAAAAGCATTTAAAAATCATGATCATTATCATCAAATAATAATAATATTTCGAATGCTTTACTTCCAGATGCTTTGCGTTCTAGATGAAGTTGTCATTGCAGTGACGAAGTCAATTTCAGTTGGCTTTAAAACACGATGTGAACTACATTTGTATGAATGGTAAAGATTTTTAAGCAACAGTCGGATGGATAACTTGTTTTGTCAAGAGAAAAAAAAAGACAAAACTCTAGGATTAGTAACTGGAGTATTAGTAAAAAGCAGTCGTTTAATAGTGTGTAACAGGTGGTAATCAGCCTTGTTTAGTCATCTTTTTAGTGTTTTTGTTGTGCGTTTGTAGTGGAAAGAATTCATGGCTCTTGAAGGCAAGCCAAATCTAGCATGTCGTTTCACTGACTATCGACCCCAAGCATCCATCCGAATTAACCATCCAGAAGCTTCGGGTTGCTTGAGACAGAGAATAGCCCCTCCCCAACAGATTTAGCACAAGAAGAGTAATCTTGTCTCGGCCGGCTGAATGTTTTTCTCACAACCTGAAGGTTGCGGCTTTGCCCCCCAGCTTTCCCCTTGACCCAAAGAACCTCTCAGCTGTGTTTGATGCTGCATCATCAGCAGCATATGAATGAGCTTTTAACTTGCCTTCCTAAATGGCAGCATAGGACAGTGTTTCCCAACCAATTGTTGTAGTTATGTTCTATTTTTCATCAACATGTACGAATGAGGGGCTACTCATGGTACGACCAAATGTTTTGGGGCAAGAGAAGACAAAAAAAACCTCTGCGAATGTGGTGACATTCTAAAAATCTTTTCATACACTGAATGAAGAAAACTATAATATTTTCCCAATCACTTCCATGAGCCATCACCTAAGCATGGTGCACTGTATCACTGTGATCCTCGGACCTAAATTGTCTGGGATTTTATGCCCCTGGCAGTGTCACCCATGGAGAAAAAGTCCTAGGTGATGGACCAGACAAAGCACGGCTCAGAAGACCCCTTACGATGAGGACAAAAATGGACCGCGTTTTCCCTTGCCCAGACGCGCAGCACTCTGGAGCCAGGCCTGGAGGTGGGGCTTGTTGGCCAAGCCTGCACCCGTGGGGCCCGGTTGGACACAGCCCGAAGAGGAAACATGGGCCCCCTTCCCAAGCGCTCACCACCTGTGGGAGGGCCCAAAGGCATCATGAGCTGGGCGGTGGCAAAAGGCGGGGGATTTTGGCGGTCTGATCCTCATCTATGAGGCAGAGAATTTGTGACGAGAGATAGTCAGGCTCGCCTCCACACACAGCTTGGGCTCTGGTACCAGTCCTCTCGAGAGGGCTTGGGCACTTATCCTCCACACTGTGAAAAGCATCAAGCAGATTTGGGATAATACTTGTTGCTTGGCGCCTGTACATTGGGGTTCACCCCAGTGGACAAGAGGGTAGCCTCCCTTCACTTTCAGGTGGGTGGACGGGGCCTATCTGTTGTTTGTGCCAATGCCCCACAATGCCTCACATGCACAAAGAACCTTGCCCATCATACAAGCAAGATCCAGTCTGAGGAAAAATCATTTTGTTGAGCTTAATTTACTAGCTAACGCCATTTTCTTTGCTGTTGTTTTGCGTTTGTGTCTCAATTTAAAATGTTTACCTCATGAATTGGTTCTGCAAGCAAACAGCTAATCACAGTGATCAAATTCATGGCCAATTCCATTTAGCATACTGCAATCGATGGCTCATTGATTCAACTCATATCTGAGAAAAAAAAAATAGTCATCCAAACATTTCTTATTTTTTCACTATTCTAAACGTTGCTTTTTACTTAGGTTTGTTCACGCTTGCATTATGAGTGTGCTTGGCATGATTAGCCAACATGTAGCTCAGCTATACGTACACAAGTTACAATTTTTTTTTTTTCGTGTAACGATCACTGTTAATAGGGATCTGTCTCTGTTTCCACCAAATTCGGTGTACTGAAGGCAGCAAGTGCCTCTCACACCAGCGCCTTTGCGTTGCACTAAATTATGCAGAATGTAAAAATCTCAAACATCATCAGCAAGGATATGGTGGCCTTCGCTGCAAGATGTTTTTGAGGTCAAGTTTGCCCTATAAATTATATTATGCAGTTCAGTGTTTGAGAAAATAGATGTCGTAGTTGGACTTCAGTGTGTTTCTCCCGTTTCTAAGATTCTTATCAGATGTTCCTCAATCAGATTAAGCTCCACTTTCTGCAACTACAGCCTCTCCTGTTGCATTTCCATCATGTCCAGAGGCCCATTTCACGCCCCTCCCTTCCTGCTAGTAGACCAATGAGATGCACATACAAACACACACACACACACACCCACACACACACACACACACACACACACACACACACACACACACACACACACACACACACACACGCTTATCTGGAGGAAAAATTAAGGATTTGTTCTGTTCCAACAAAGGATGAAAAATGCTTTCCCCTTGTCGCTCCCTAAAAAAACTGTGTTATTGTCATCTGAGTCAAGCACTTTCTCATTCCTCATCAGGTAAAACCTTATTTGGCAAAGGGAGGAAATAAACAACTCAAACGGCGGCAGATCTTTAAAATTCTGTTGCGCGAGATGTCCAATCTGAAAATGCTAACACACACTTCCAGTTTTGGAATATTTTGAATGGAATCATGCATTTGACAAAGAGCAGAAAAGCAATTAATATTGGATGAAATTATATTACGATCATAAAATAAGCCAGTGGCAAGCCCGCATAAAAAATATCACATGAACAGTAAGGTGCGGTCATTAGCTGAGCCCTGGGCAACCGTGATGTTATTTTCAGTCGACAGCAAGTGGCAAAATGGCTGCCCCCTTTGTTTTGATAAAAACAGGTGTATTTTGCTGTTGAATTCGTATTCCACAAATGCAATATAAATCAGAATGCTGCGTTTAGACGGGTGGGGGTGCATAGAACATTTTATTGTAAAGAACGTTTGACTCGACTTCCATTTTAAGGCCATTACAGATGAGTGCAATGTTATGCTCTTAGCCACAAGGGTGTTTTTAGCTGTGTTTTGGCTCATTATTCTGTTGCAAGATCCACGACTTTCAGAAAGTAGGCAGCGTATTTCTCTTTTGAATCCTGTACCTCGATTGTCTTGAGATTTCATTGCACCTTGATCAGATTCAAGACACCCTGTGCAAGATGGAGCAACATAGTAGTAGTTGTCATAACAAAGCCTTTGGGGTTCGCCTTTAATTAATTTGGAGGTTGTTCTTTGTTACCATCTTCAATTTGTCATCAGTTTTGCAGGGAGGTTGGCTACAATCCTGTGGATCTTCCATTACTGAATGATATGTGCAATTATCGTCGAAGGAACATCAAGCTGCTTGGAGATGCTCTTGCAGCCTTTACGTTTTACGCGATTGTCTAGAATTTGTCTTGTCTATAAATTCTTTCTTTTGCATTTTCTGTTTATTGTATTGACACACCATGTTACCTAACAGCACAGTGACTACTTAATGTTACCCTTTAAATACTATACTGGAGCCTTGGGGGTCACCAACCTTCTTGAAGCGGAGCGCTACTTGTTGGCTGCTAATGAGTGCGAAGGGCTACCTGTTTGACATACACTTCTGAATTTTAAAAATTAATCAGATACTATTATTATTTTATCTTGTTATTTTTAGGGCTGGGGAAAATAAATTGGCTAACTCAGCTCGGCGGACAAGAAAAATTGATTAACACACAGATTTTTGCCATAAATGGGGGAGCGAGGGCATGAGTGATGAAATAATTGATAGAATTATTCATTCCAAAGAGATTCATTCGTGAGAGCCCTAGTGATTAATAACACATAATGACTTTCATTGACATGAAGACACTGATCACGTTAATGATTGCTCACAATAATTAGGAAACACAAATACCAACTATCAACAGTTGTCTTTGGGCAGTAGGCGGTGTACACCCTGATCTGGTTGCCAGCCAACCACAGGGCACACATAGACAAACAGCCATTGACCTGTCATGCATGTTTTTCGGAATGTGGGAGGAAACCGGAGTACCCAGAGAAAACCCACGCAGGCGCAGGAAGAACATGCAAACTCCACACAGGGAGGCCGAAGCCGGAAATGAGCCCACAGACCACCGGCCCGCCCCATGACAAAACCAAATAAGAACCATGTTAATGAATAAGAAAACCAGATTTTCCTGCTTCCTAGTGGCTTGGGAGAGAAATGATTCAAAGCAATATAAAGCAACGCCTTTGAGACCATGCAGAGTTTGACTCTCGGAATACCTTGAATCATAAGAGTTGATTGCATTTCGTGACAATTACATTTGTATAGAAATTTGTTGTGCCCACCTTAATAAGTTGAAAGGTATTGGTGCTAGACATTTTGTGTTTCCATTCCATTTGTATGTAGTTATATTAGGAGTGTGGTGAATAATATAAACAGAACATACAGTAAGAAAGAAAAAAAACA